TGCTATTAGAGCTGGTGCTACAGATTAGCAGCGGCTTTTAAGACTCTATTAATAGGAGAACCTGAATCGCAGAGGGTGACTTAATGTAAGATCTCGCTCACTGATTAGTTTAAATCTTCCTTCTTTTCTTTAATGAGATTTGGTTCTTAGGTTTTTATACGTTGCTTAAATAATGTTTATAAGCAGTTCTACTATAGCTATTAACGTTTATCAACATCTTCAAAGTTTTAGCACGTTTTCTGGTATTCATAGGAATAGGAAGCTCTCTTCCAGCTCTTCTCTCTAATCGTACGCGCACAAAAATAGTTTGTTGGATTTCATTTCGCTGCTAGCAATGCTAAGGAGGTCTTTGAAATGACAGCACTTACTTTATTCACCTATAAGCCAGCGCCGCGTGTCTTTCAAATGGGAGACAAAATGCGGGTTTGGTGGTTTGGGTTTGTTGTTTGTTCTTTTTTTTTTTTTTTAAAAAAAACCCCATGAATCATGCTTCAGAATTCAGGGGGAAGCCTGTTTTCTTGCCCCATGCTTCAGTTGTTTTTGAGGAGGATTTGCAGCCTGGCCGGTGTGTGCCTGCCTTTCCCCAGCGTCCATAGAGCGGCGGTGTTTTCTCTTCACCTTCATCACCCACTCGGGCCAAACCCTAGTCCACAGAGCCAGCAGCGAAGACGGGTGTTTATTATGAGAAGACCGGGGAGGGGGGACTGTTTATCTTAGCTAGTGTTTGTACAGAGAGATCGGGTACTGTGGCACCAAGGATAATGCGTCTTTCCCGTCTTCCATATCATCGCCTAATTAGGAGGAAAAAGTGAGCCAGGGTGGTTCCCAGTGTCGGTATGGGGCTGGTCCTCCTGGGAATGCATTCCCCACCAAAGATCTCGTGGTCATCGCGCAGGCTTCCATATATCTTAAGTTCTACCAAAGAGTAGTTTCGCCGATCTGCTTCTGAGGATGCTCGCTTCGGAGAGCGGAGCAAAGGTTTAGGCATCCTTCTCTGCAGGCAGTATTCGGAGAGCGCTTCGCGCTTGCTTTTTCCTCCTTTAGCAGCCTGCTTCCCCCCGCTCTCCCGTGTACTTTAATGTCTTCTGTGACACCATACGTAGATTTATTCATGCTTAATTGGAACATGTGAAAATCTCAAATATGTAGCCTGTTCTGTACTTTTTAGAGAAGAGCCACAAGTGACTAATTAGTCCGTTTGATCATCTGGATGGTATTTGTACATATTTGTTCTTCGTTAGCTCAAAACCGTGTTAGTCACGTTTGAACTATGCAGTCGCTTAATCATATTGATCAGAGCAAAGTTGAGTCTCCTTTGGAAGTTCTGGGGTTTTTCTGAAACTGCAGCTCTGCGCTGCACCAACTCTTGATGATGTTTTTTTTTTTTTTTTTTCTGTTTTTTGCCTTACTAGCTACTGGCACTTTCACGGGGAAGAGATTCCGTGCTGCTGTGTTGTAGTTTTTAAGCCTGTTCGTCACATCTCTGGGTTATGCTGCAGCGGTGTTTATCCCCATGAAGTTCTGGCCTCTTCTTGCATGCTGCTGGGTTGTTTTTCGTGGAGTCCAGTCCTCTAGCTTTGTGTTTTATAGGAAGATAAGTGTCTGGGGAGAACAGCAAGCTGCCATCCTAAAGGAACTGCCGTAGGATGCCATGGCTGGCTCCCTCCTCTCTGGGACGGTTTGTATTTGGTTGATGGTGGTTTGATGGGGGACGCGGCGTTGTTTCAAAGGCGATGGCATTCCACTTTTTGAGCCTCTTGAACGAGCTTGATGTTTGCTGGCCTGCCTCCACTCCTTACGGCTGAGGCTTGAAGCCAAACAGCAGGAGAGAAAAATTGCCCTGCGAGGTTAGAAACACAGTAAGTAATGCGCTTCCAAATGTCAGCTTTTGTGTTGCCTCTCCTTGTCAGAAGGAGTCAAGAAGCGTGCGTGGGGTCGAGCCGTATTTTTAAATAGCAACATGCGCAACCGACTAGCGCAGAGGACTAAAGCTCTTCCCTGGAATGGTGCCTGCCTGGGAGAGAGGACAGAAAGTTTCCAATTTGATAAGTAATAATTTGCGGAACTACGATGATTATTAGGTGGAGAGTGAAAGTGCTTACTCCCATTACCGTGAAACCGCCTATCAAAGGATTTGATCGATTGAAAGATGAAAGAAATGGTGGTGGCTAGTTTCCTCTAATAGATTTTATGGGTTTTCCTGAAGGTTTTGTCTTGTGTTAATGATCAAAAAAATGTTTTTTTCATCAAGTGTGTGTTGTGTTGCTTTTTCTTTCATTGCAGTCCCGCCACGCAATTTGGTAATTGATATCCAGAAAGAAATCGCCGTTGAGGGAGAAGAGATTGAGCTGAACTGCACTGCCATGGCCAGCAGACCAGCCACCACCATCAGATGGTTCAAAGGAAACAAGGAGCTAACGGGTAGATGTATCCTCTTGCTCACTTGCTTTTCCCAGATAGCTGACATGATTTATGTAATGCTGGGTATTTGTTCTCTGGTGCTGGTTTGAGGGAAAGGAGAGAAAAAAAAAAAAAAAAAAAAAAAAAAGTAGAGCGAGCTGCTTAAAACGCCAGCTCAGGAACAAAGGAATATGTGGGCAGACAGATTATTCTCTAACACAGAAGGGCTGAACTCCATTTTGTCCTCTGCCTGCCTGCCAGACTCGAGTACAGGGTTCTGGAGTCTTTCTGTAACTGCAGGTGACCTTGAGGAGCCCCAAAGCTGTGTGGTGAATTTATTTCTGCGCTGGCTTATGTAGCTTTCTGCCCCGTTTTAGGTACGGGGTGGGATCATCTGCGCTTTGGGCTGTACAGATTTGCAATTCACCGTCACGTCTCGCTCTCTTGTTTATAGAGCGTTTTCTCTGTGTTCGGTTGAATATTCATACACGATGGGTTTCTCCTGCTCCCTGAGGTCTGCTTGCTCCCGGTATTTGCACATTCAAGTCACTGCCTCTGATTGCATGTGACGTGCTGTTGGTTTAAGTCTGCATGTAGATGTGAGCGTGGTTGACAACACCTTTGTGCTTTACCCAGTCTGAGACACTGAAGGGCTCTCTACAGAAGTCCAGACTCATTACTTCAAACCCACCCCCTACGAGGGCAAGAGAAAATCCTCTCTTTAAGTCCAACACCTACGAGCATCCAAGTAGGACGCATGCTGAGAGTCTGCAGATAAAGGTGGAAGGCAAACCTGCTGCCACGCCAAGTGGTGCCCGGCTGGTTCCCAGCACCGGTTGTCATCGACGTGGCGTGCGGATCTTCCAGTGGTCCCTTTCTGGTTTCCCTCCCCATTCCGGCAGGCAGCAGTGCGCTTGACCTGTCTGGCTTCTCGATTGAGTTTTCTTGTGCTGGCAGTTGATTCCCAGCTTTCCTTTCTCTTTGAAGACTGCTGAGCTGAGTAGTGGCTTCTTGCAGTACCAGCTCACCCTGCTGATCCTTCGGATTTTTTTTTTTTTTTTTTTTTTTTAAACAGAAGCAGGGAAACTGAAATACTTGGTTGCGGGTTGTGAATAGCAGGAAAGTGCGGCTTTGCCGAGCAGAAAGCCTTTCCTCTAAATATCAAGGGGTGTCACTTTCCACGTCTGCCCTCTGTGTCACATTAATATATTACACAGAAATATTTTGTGTTGGAAAGACCTCTGCTACAAAAGTACTCTTAACATTTCGGCTGTGAATTCTTAAAGGAAAAGCCACATAGAAGCATATTTGAAAATGAAGCGGAGGTGCGTTGTGAGCGAGCGCTTGCTGGGTTCCTGGAAGGATCCTTTTTGTCCTGTCTTGTCTTTTCTTCCTCCTTGTTTCCGTGCCGTGCATTGCGGCATCCTTCAGGCAGCCCGTCCTGAAGCGTGCTTTGCTCCAACCACCGACGCTATTCTCTCCTTCATACGGAGCGCTGCTGAAATGCTTCAGCGTATCAATACTGCTTTTAATTAAGTTAATCTGTTTAATCGCTTTTCCAGCTAATTGTTGATTCAAGAATGGGAGGGGATTTGTAGCTCATTGATTTAAGAGTTTGGGGATTTGGGGACGGCGTAAGGGGGTTGTTAATCGTTGCGGTAGCGTAGTGCGGACTTTCCTGGGCAGCGACCTCACGGAGAGGTGTGCGTGGATCTCCCTCCCCTACGCCTCAGCGGCTGCAGAGTGGGGACGGTTGTCGGAAGGGGACGTGTCACGGGGCTCGGAAAGGAGGGAGGTGACGCGGGTGCAGTGGCTACTCCCTCCCGTGGTCACTCTCTGCTCTCTGTCCTCTCCCCGGCAGGCAAGTCGGAAGTGGAGCAGTGGTCCGACATGTACACGGTGACCAGTCAGCTGGTGCTGAAGGTGGGGCGGGAGGACGACGGGGTCCCTGTCATCTGCTTGGTGGATCACCCTGCCGTCAAAGACTTGCAGACGCAGCGTTACCTTGAAGTCATGTGTGAGTAGCAGAACTTTTAATTCTCCTAATGTATAAAATCGCTCGCTTAAGAGTGCAGGAACTGTTCGCTACGGGATAGAATCGTGGCGTAGCTGGGGCTTATATCCCATTATTTAAATATTGAAATCAAAACGTTGGGTACCACGTCATGAGTTAAGCCACGGCTTTTCCCAGCCCTTCTGCAATATAGTCAATACATACTTTCCTTCTTGTAAAGAAGAGCTTTCTGTGTGTAGAATTTGTAACATCAACGGTTCCTGGCTGGGCTTTATAATTGTCAGAACAGATTAAACCAGAGTATTTTTCTTTTAGCGACCCACTTACCTCTTTGAAAAGTGCTTCTCTGGTACCACATCAAAGCGACCAGCAACCGTTGTGAGTTTACTGGCAAAAACTTGGTGCTGTGCAAAAGAAACTCGGTATTGTGCATTGTGACCATACGGCACCAACTGGTTTTCTAAACTGGAGTAAGGAGAATTACGTGGAGTCTGTAGGAACACTGCTGAGGGAGGCCAACCTATTTTCTGTAATGCTCCTAACGCGTTCGGTGTTAATAATGCATTTCCCTTCGTTTAGGAACTGCTCTACTGTAGGTGACGTTAACGGAGTTTATGAGCAGGTACCTGAAAATACCTGTGGTCCCAAATGCAGCCGTGCCTGCATTTCAGGTGGTGGGGGTGACAGAGCTGCTGCGTACGCATGCCTCTACCCAGAAAATGGCTCCCGAAAGCCTCGCAGCAAGGCTGGGGCGTCCCAGAAACCCAGGGTGCTAGCCTGATTCCAAGTGCTTACTTTTGTGGGTGCACTTCAACTCCAGCATTACATTAAAAGGGGAAGAGGAAGCTTTGTATTAATTTATTTCATCTGCTTCATTATGTAGTTTCATTATGAACATCTTGGTTACAATTCTCATATCTCTGAAACTAGCGGGAAGTAATGTTCCTGTAATGAGGAAAACAGAAATGATCAGATACTACCTAAATTGGCAGATACTAGATTTCTTGCGACTGTGCTAATGTGTAATTCATTTATGCAAACTTAATGTCCATTAACATTTCTTGTAGAGCTTCATTAGCTTTAATAATACATTAGCACCTTTGTGAGACTTGATCAAATACTTAACGGGGGGGAAAAAAAAGAAATCCAGTCTCCTCTGTTCTGCGGAGGTATTGAAATCTCGTCCGGTTTCTTCCCCTTGGTTGAAAGGGCATCACATTACCTTTAGGCTTCCCTTCAGAAATTCCGCTGAAACCCCGATCGCTTGATGGGATAGGAGAGGGCCACTGTTTCTGCAAAAAACAACGTTTTTTCCGTTCTTCCTCAAATAACTCCCTTCTTGACTGCTTTCGTTTGCAGCCGTTACAGGGTTGCCCATGCAATGAAGGCAAAGCACGCGTAAGCTGCGGTTACTTGGACGTCCTAGGGGACGCGTGCCATCTTCAGCTACCGCGTCGGAGGCTCCTGTCGTGCGTCCCTCGCACAGGTTTCCTCCCTTAGCGCTGATTTTTAGCCTCCCCTTGGGTTGCTCTGGAGCTGTTTGTTTGGATCAGGGCTAGCGCAGAGTCCCCTCGGAAGGGAACGGGGATGAGTAGGAAAAGTGTTCTCGGGCTGGTTTGGTTTTATGTTCTGGTCTGAATTAAACTCTGAGCTTGTTAAAAGTAATTATGTTTATATGTGGGGCCTTGACCCACGTTAGTTCAGTCAGTTCCTTCAGCGGGCAGCAGCAGATGGCTTGAGAGAAGACTACCGGCAGAAGAACACGTCGTGCGTCATAACCTTGCGGCTCCGGGACTTCATGTGCTGGAGTGCCTCCAGACATTTGCATTTAATACCTGCTGTTGGACCTGAACTTGGGGCAGAAAAGGCAGTTACAGAGCAAACTTTTACCCTTGAGCTTTTCCTGCTTCAGGCTGGTGACTTGTTGGCTGGTGGGAGAGCGTGAGCAGGAGGAAGACCGGCTTGTCTTCACGGACGGGCGTCTCGGTCAGAGCTCCCGTGGACGCGGGCTTGGCCTCTCGGGGAACTCGGGCTCCTGCAGTCCAACCTAATTGATACTTCCTCAATTGCTTTTTAGATACAGGACGTGCAGTCAGAGCAAAGGACTCCTCCCGACTGCTCTTTGCGCGCTTCCACTGACCGCGTTGTTACCTTGCAGGCGCGCTGAGTGCCAATGCTGCAAAGCGGCGTCGGTCAGCGCTCGCTGCTCGTCCTGTGCGTGCCGTTGTCGCTGCTTTCCTCGCAGCCGGCGAGGCGTCACTCCGGATCCGTTCGCTCTGCTGCTTGCTCCGGTGTCTGCTCTTACGTTCTCTCCCCATAAGTCCTGCCCGTTCCTACCACGGGCCCGGTGGATCCGCCTCTTTGGAACATCAGCGGGGCACAGGAAAATATTTTTCTCAGCAGATGTTGTATTTCTCTGTGCTTAACGTATCCAACTCGAGCATGGAATGCGTTGGGGAAGGGCGAGAGGATGATGGATGGAGCCTTCTCAGATAATGAGGTATTTTTTTGTCTGACTGAATTCCAGAGCATGGAGAGATTTTTTTGTAGGATGCAAATCAAAAGTTGGGTTGTTGGGTTTGGTTTGTTTTTTTTTTTTTTAAAAAGAAAAAAATGAGGAGAAAACTGCGTAGTTGGGAAGGTGGGACACTTGTCATCGCACGAAACTGTTCAAAATGCAACCTGCAAAAGGGAGCGGACCCTGGGGCACGTGCAGTTCATGCCCTTTGGAGGCGGGCGATCTTGAAAGGAAAACGTGCGTTTTCCGAGGTGACTCTCCACACGGTCCAGCCGTTTTCCAAGAAGAATACGCCGCTGTTGCTCCTCGCAGGCTGCTTAGGGGCTGCGGCGGTGGCTTTTGTAAGGCTCCCCCGGGAGAGCTGGGGCGCAGGCAGCGTGCAGGTTCAGGCTGGCTGATGGCAGGGAGGAAGAGGGAGTCAAGTCTTCCCCCAGGGTCCCTTCATTCTCCTTTCAAAACATTCACTTTTTCTCTTTTTAAGGTGATTTTCTTAAAGCTAAGTATGTCAAATGTCTTTTGGTAAATGAGGACCCTAGGTGTCATTGACAACCCCGGAGCGTTTGCACTTTGGTTTATTTGGAGGTGTTGCTTAAAATATGGATTTCTTTTATTGAAATGGCCTTCCCTGCTAAAAAAAGAAAGAAGGGTGCAGAAATTTAAGTCTGCAAAGTGACCTACTTCACGCTGTTTTAAAAACAACTCATTTGAACGTGTTCTTCTGTGTTGTAGTTCAAAGAAAATTGCAGACTTTGGGGTTTCAGCTTCTCTGTAACTTCAGGAAGATGTTTCTAAATGGCTGTTGGCCTCCTCACCCCAGGCTGGGGTAGTTCCAGACTTCCTAAGCCAGGAGGAGGGAGCGGGACAGGCAGAGCAGTTTCAGGGTGTTGACAGGGCGAAAGCCTGGGGTTCGTCGCAACGCTCAATGGCACAGCCCCGGCGCACCCCGCGCACGTGCGGCACCGAGCCCTCCGTCACCTCAGCCGAGATGTAACGAGGCGATCGTTCGCTCTGCTGCGCCTGATTCGTCTCGCTGCCGCCCTGGTCTCTCCCTGGTTATTTCCAAGCATCTTCTCGGGTGCTGAGGCGGCCGCATCTCTGATTGAGAGGGAGGACCGGGTCTCTTGCTCCTCCTCTTGTGCGTGGCGGGCCTTCTGCTACAGCAAAATAATAGACACGCTGCATTATCTGATACGCTGTCGTAACGCGTACCGATCGCTGGTTACTTTACCCAAAGCTAAACTTGGAAAATAAATAGCAAGTTCGCTGTGCGCGTACCGAGGGGAAAGACTGTTTTGCTGTGGTCAGCAAAACCGTGAGTAAGACCGATTCATGCCGAGTATTAACTTGTCCTACTCACGGAGTAAGCTATTTGTTGCATATATAATGTGGCACAGCCTGGCCTTTTGTGACGTTTTGAGATAAATGCGTCCGCCTGAACGTAGGGTGCGTTAATAAAAAGAAATCTCTGCAGGCAAGCGCTCGGTAACACGCTTGAAGCCCCCCTGGTAACGCTTCTCAACAGCAAAGAGAGTTTGACAAACGGTGCCCTGCGCTCGCAGTAACGATAGCGCTTTCATGCTTGATTAATAGCCACGCCAGCGATCGTATAACCCCGTGCGATGGGCGGCCGCGGTGCGTTGCGTGGCATCAGTTTGAAAACCCCCCCAGTTCTGGCCGGGGTCGCTTTCTCATCGTGAGTCAGAGCCGTCAATGAGGGATGGAAGACCGGTGCGTCGAGTGTAATTTTAGAAAGGAAATGAAGCAACAAAATGCATTAAAATATCATTAAGGAATTGAATGGAACCAGATATTCTCGGAGACGTTCAAGTTCAGCCTTTGTGGTACTTTTCCTTATCTCATTACGTGATACTGGAAGTGGAAGTGTCAAAGTCTTGATCTGGCATTTTCTCTGGGTTGTAGGTTTTGGGGTTTTTTTTTGCTTTTCTGAAGTTCTAATTAATTGCACACTCATTTTTATAATACCTACACATGTACTTTTAAAATATGCACCGATGGAATCTGTTTCAGCCTCTGCTGTTACAATTTGAGAATTTTTTGCGGCCAATTATGTTAAAAATCAGCCATATATGTATGCTGTCGCATCTCCAGTAATCCTTATATTTCTATCGAGTACAAATATTAATTGCATAGTATGCAGTGAAGTGATTAACATCAATGTAATTTATCACCTGGAGATTTCTAAAAACGAATAAATGAGTTGTTTTGTTCAGCGAGGTGTTGACCCCTTCAGAAACTTTGAGTTAAAGCGGGGTTTTTTTCTCCTTCTAGTAAATATGAAAAGCACCACAATCAGCCAAGTGTTCAGATATTTGATTTTCTGGGGCATTAGCCACTCTTGTTTGTGACATTTCCCAGTTGGGTGCTCGTTTGCAAGCTCATTAATAAGGTTTTCTCGGAGGAATGTTGTTGGGAGCGAGGACCATACAGTGTGGCCTGGACGCTGCCTTTCGCCAGCAATAAGCAG